GAGAACCATTTCCTGCTGGCGTCATCTGGCCTGCCCGACTCCCTGGCTCCACAGAGGGCTGCAGGGAGGTGGAGCACCCCCTCACCCTGACTCCCCGTGTCCCTGTCAGGTTCTGGAGACTGCTGGAGCGCTTCCTGCCCACACACAGTATCTGCTCCCTGCCCTTTGTCACCTCTTTCTGTCTGGGGCTGGGGCCTCGAAGAGTCTGCTATGGCAAGGTGCGGTGCAGTCTGGTGCTGAGGACAGGGTGGGAAAGTGGGCTTCTCTGTGTCTGGCTCTGGCTGGGATGGGCAGGAGAGAGCCAACGGATGTGAGCTTGTCCCTACCTCCATGTGCTGTTTGCCTCTGCAGAGGAGGCCCCTGCCCCATTTCTCACTCGCTCCGTAGACCAGGCTGGCCTTGAACTTACAGAGATCTGCCCGCCTCTGCCTCCCAAGTGCTGGGATTAAAGGCATGCGCCACCACCCGGCCCTTTTCTCACTTCTCCTCTTTCTTCAGGAGCAGGCAGTGGGACCCTGGTACCACCCTAGTGCCCAGGAGACCCAGCCCCTCTTTGGCGAACATAAACTGGCTGGAGACAGTGGGGGCTGGGTGAAGACACACTGCTGCCTGGCAGACGCCTGGCATGGGGGCAGCTCTCTGCTGCTCCGGGGCCTGATTCCACCTGAGGTTGACAACGTAGCCGTGAGGTGGGTGAGTGATGGCTGAGGTGTGTGGGTCTCCGCCTTCTGTCCTCTGTGTCTGCGGCTAAATTAGGCAGAGGGTCTGCCGGAGCCAAGTAAGGAGCTGTTAGACCTCAGATCTTTTACGCTGTGCTCAAACACATTGCATGACGCCTCTGCAGCCTGCTTCAGTGTTGCATGGCTGTGTCGGTTGGGTGCAGTGCCATGCAGGAGTTTGAAACAGCCCACTGAGTGGCACTTCCCAGCACGTGGCTGCCTTAGATGGTGCATGGGAGGAAATTAGAACCAGGGCCTTCCAGTCTGCAGCAGTCTGGCTATAGGAAAGGCCAGGTCCTAGTCACGGCAGGGAGGGGCTGGTGGAGGGTCTGCGGTCTCCCTCCCACCTCTCATAAGGTTTCTCTCCTCCAGGTTGTTCTCCCTGCAGGTTCCACTGCCACCCAAGCTTTTCCTGTCAATGGTGTACAAATTTGAACGCTCGACAGATGTTCAGGTGGCTTTGGAGCTTACAACAGGGGATGCCAGCAGCTGCCACGTGGGTGGCATATTGGTGCTCAATGGTGAGAGGCTGGGTAACTTCATGGAAAGGAGGTGGCGAAGGCCCTGGCTCCGGGTGGAACTGGTATGGGTGGGGCTGCTGTGGGCGGGGATGGGTAGTTCCCACCTAGGGTGGAATCTGTGGTTTGTGGTCACAGAGATGTAAGACAGGGGTCTCCTAGACCCCCCTCCCCCCACTGCCCTACCCAGGGGTCTCCTAGACCCCCCTCCCCCACTGCCCTACCCAGGGGTCTCCTAGACCCCCCTCCCCCCACTGCCCTACCCAGGGGTCTCCTAGACCCCCCTCCCCCCACTGCCCTACCCAGGGGTCTCCTAGACCCCCCTCCCCCCACTGCCCTACCCAGGGGTCTCCTAGACCCCCCTCCCCCCACTGCCCTACCCAGGGGTCTCCTAGAACCCCCCTCCGTCCACTGCCCCACCAGGGGTCTCCTAGACCTCCCTTCCCCAACTGCCCTGCCGAGTAGACATCCTGCCCCTCTTGGGTTTTCCTGTGGGATTCTCCTTTCTGAAGCCCATGTCTTCTAGCAGATTCTGGCTCAAGGCACAGCCCCCGACCCCTCCGGGTGCCCCCCACCAAACTGGCCAGATGGAGTGGCCGTTGTGGTCAGCAGCTCAGTGGGGGCTGGATTCAACGGTGAGTCCCTCTCCTGTCAGGTCCCCTTAAGGCTATGGGCACACATGGAGGAATTTAAGGAACAAGAGTTCCCCACTGAGAACCAACCCCCCCCCCCCCCCGGAACAAGAGGGAAGGAGAGATCTTGGTTTGACCCTCGAGTTTTGGCAGCAGTGAGATAGACCAGAATATTCCTCACAGGAACCTGCTGTAGTCCTGGGCCCCATGACCTGGGGTACCTCTGGGATGCTTCCTGCTTCATGCTGTGGCTAGGGCCCTCCCCATAGCTGGCTTGTGAGTAGCCTGTGTGTTCTTTCAGCTGCTATGAGGTGAGCCTGCATGGGTGCCTGCTTCAGGACCTCTTGATGAGCTTCTCACGGCCACCTGGCAGCCGGGAGGAGAAGGGCTTCGTTTGTCGCCTTGGAGAGATCCAGGTGTGTATGTGGGAGCTGGGCCTGTGGGGAGGGAGGGGTGGATGGAGGCTCTGAGGAGTGCCTCCCTGGGCATCTTGCCAGCCAAACCTCTCTCCTATCAGGTGGTTGATGCCAACAGCCTGCTGGCCCCTCTGCCCCGGGTACAGAAGGTCACCATCTCACAGCTCCGCTGGCTTCCGCTGATCTCTGGATCCGAGGGCCGCCCTGCCCAACTCCTTCTCAGCTGTACTCTTCAGTGGTCCTTCCACCTGCTCCAAGCCAGGTGCTTCCGGATTCACTGCCGGGAACAGACAGGAAGCAGCTCCGCAACGGACGGGACTGAGAAGCCCATGTTCCTGGGCCTGGCTTTTGCCAACCAGTACCGTGTGGTGGACGTGGTAGTGGGGGCCGCTAGATTTGGGCAGGATGGTCGTGTGGAGTTCCTGGTGGAGCCTGTCCCCAGGGAGGGCTTCCAGGTGCCTCAGGCCGAATGGGGCAGGGCGGCCCTGGTCTACTCAGCCCCTCAGTGAGCCCACCCCAGAGCATAATACCCTTCTTGCCTCAAGACTCGAGGTTTCCTCTTGACCAACCACACAGGGCTGAGTGGACCACGGAGTATAGCTGGGTCCCCAGGAGGCCACGTCTCTAGGCTCTGGCTGTGCTCTCAGGAAGCTCTGACCTGTGGGTGCTCCAGGTGAGTTACCTAGCACCCACATCCTTCTGTGTAATGCCCTCCATGGGAAACAGGACTCAAGGGAGAAGGAGAGCGTTTGAAGTTTCTTTCAGAAGGTTCAGTAAAGGCTATCACGCACAGACTGAAAAGATGCTTCTGTTGAGAATGGTGGCCATTTGTCCCTGCAGCTTTGACAATCAGAGACAAACCTCACTGGTGACAGTAAGGACCCTGAGAGGCCAGGGTTTGCGATGCCTCCTGAAGGCTGAGGCAACACCCCTTAGGCTTGGAGTGGGAGTTGGGTACTCACAGGGTAGCTGGGATGGTGGCCTCTAGGACTAGGAGCTCCGTCTGGTGGGCATTGGCACCCCGCCCCCCATACAAGGTGGGCCAGTCATCATCAGACTACCTGTGTGGATGGTGGCTTTGGCAGCTGACTGTCCCCATGAACCCCAACTCCCTTGCCTGTGCACAGGCTGTCTGCCATGGTGAAGGTGCAGAGGCATCAGGTGCCCCCGTGTCTCCTAGAGACAGGTGCGCCTTGCCTCCCTCTAGGTGTGGCTATGTCCTTAGCTGTACAGAGCCCTGTTGACACTGGGCTGCATGGAAGCCACCCTGAGTATCTGGGCCGTGGGTGACGCCACCATCTTTTCCCAGTGCTTCATGCTCAGGCCACGACCTCTCTCATCCCTTCTGTGTTCATACATGGGACCCTCTTTGACACAGCTCTGGGGTCTGACCTGTCACCACCAGGGCAGCCTGTCACCATCCCCCAGAGGTTGGTGCTTCCTCAGAGTCCTGAGTGCCAGGCAAGGAGGGCAAGGGTGGCTCCTGCCTGTGTGGGTTGATGCTTCCGCCCATCTTCCCTGATTTTGTGGGCACTCTGTCTCTCACGAGTGGCACCTATAAGGACCTAGAACCATCCTGCCAGGTTTCTCTTGTGATTACCGGCTCTCACAGGGACAGGGGCAGGACAGGGCCTCTGGTAAAGTCCAGGCTACTCCTGTACCCTGGCATGTGGCCACCAGCCTTGCAAGTAGGAGAGGAGCACCCAGGACTGTGCTGGCCTTGCTTTCTCTGGTCTGATGCGGAACCTGCCCCCAGGACCCTGGCTTCCCCAGTCCCAGCCAGGGTACTATGCCTGGAGCAGAGAGTCCACGGGTGGCAGGAAGGGCAGGGGGTGGGTTCTGGGGCAGTGCAGCATTCCTGAATGCCCTGCTTCCCTCATGGTACCGGGGACACTTTTTAAAAGTGCTGGTTCCTTCAAATATTTTATGCAGAGAAGGAGGGAAAATTTATAGTGGCAATTATTTTCTTACAGTCTGGTGAGCAAGCAATTAGAAGTAAGGGGGCTTAGCAGAGCGTGGCGTGAGGCAAAGCCGCGCAACCCCACTTCCCAGGAGCACGGTCCCCAGTCCCGGCAACACTGACTCCTGCGCAGGAAAATTAATCTGTCGGCATTTAAGCCCGGGCCCCTCTGGTGGATATAATCGCTTGGAAATAAATTATCCAATGTGAAAAACGAGAAGGCAAGTCTTGGTGTGATCCGGCTCTTGGCCCCAGCCCCGAAGCTTTTGGTTTGGATTCTGCGTCTCTCATGGCAGATCTCAGCCCCTGCCTTAGCTGCCCCCACCTACTGTTCTGCCGCCACCTCTTTCCGAAGTCAGGGCTCAAGGCTGGGCCGCACATTCACCTTGGAATGAATGTAGGGCCGCCGTTGAGGGTGTCCACACCATGATGGCTTCACGCCCTATCCCTGGCTCTGTGACCTCTCACATCCAGTCAACACCATGCCTGGGGAATGCCCACCATGCCCCTGCTTCCTTAGCTGCAACTGGTAGAAACTTTGCGGGCTGCTCTGCCCCATGAGTCTGTCTGAGGGCAGGCGCAGAGGCCAGCCTGAAGAAGGGGGCTGGAACGTCCCAGGTGTTTGCCCAGAGGGTCCCCAGCCTCCCCACTCTCACCTGCCTATCCTAGGGCTGAGCCCCAAACCCCAGACCTTGAGTGCTCTCCCCCCCCCCCCCCCCCCCGTGCAGGGAACTGCTAAATTAGAAAAAGCCATCCTGGTTTGAAGAAAGAAATCTTTATTAATCTTAATAGTAATACTGTTACTTTGAATGGTCACACCGTGGAAGCATACAGAATGGTAAGAAAGGAAGCCTGGGGCTCGGCTGCAGTCCTGGGAGAGGGGCTGGGATGAGGGTTCCGAGCTGCTGTGGGAAAAGGGTCCGAAACAGCAGAAGGCGAGGGGCTCTGTACAGAGGACAGAGCCGGAGGCAGGCGCAGGGCTATGTACAACAGGAATAGAAAAGGAGGGTTCCGTTTCCATAGCTTCGGTGGCTGATGCTGGATAGAAAGTGAGGTGATTTATTTTGAGGTGTCATGAGACAGTGGTGCCGCGTCGGGAGCCATGGTTTCTGTTATTTTTTTATTTTTTTGCTGTTAATCCTACTCCACCTATCCCGGCCTTGCCAGGGGCTTCTTGCTACCTGTCCCTTGTGCCATCCACTGGGCCTGCTGCTTTCCTGTGACACCCACTATTCCTGCCCAGGGAGCGAAGGGGCTGCAGCCCCGCTGGCCTTCCCTGCGGCGGGGCCAGCCCAGACTGTCCCCATTCCTTGCCTTCCCCATGGGTCCTGCTCTGACCGTGGCCCTCCAGACCCTAGCACCTTGACTCCCGGCCTCCAGGTGCAGCCCAGGGCTGGCCCATCTGTCATCGCCCGCTCCCTAGCAGAACTGAGCCACAGGAGGGAGCAGGAAGGAGGGTTGGGTCCTTCTTCAGGAAGGCTGCCACTACGAACAAAAGCTGTGCTCCAGGGCCCCCCTGTGCACGCCTACAGCATGAGGACTGGGTCCCTGCTGGCTGGGCCTCCTTCCTTCTCTGTAGCTGGAAGCTTTTCTCACATAGGGGAGCAGGAGCATGGGGTGCTCCAGAGTCCTGGAGCCATGTCAGCCCTTTGCATTGGGAGTTGGACCCCAGGGCGGCTGGTTGGACAGCTGACGCACTGGCAGCACATTCAGTGAGGCCAGGCTGGAGACCTGGGATGAGTGACAAGCTGCCCTTGGCCCCTAACTGCCTCCAGCCCCTCCAGGGCTCAGCAGGCAATAGCCCAAGTCAGCTGGCTGCTCCTTCTTAGGGGCCTGCTCCACCCTAGAAACTCCTGCCTGGGGAGCAGGGTGGGAAAGGAAGACTGGGTAAGATACCGGAGCCCCCCGCCCCACACCCACGGGCCACATTTCCCCTCCAGGTCTTCCCCAGCGCCTGGCAGCATCCCTACTGCACCGCCAGTCAGGCAAGGCCACTCTCCGGCGCCCCCTGGGGGACGAGCTCCCTCGGTGCGGGCGTACGCCAGACGTGGACTTGGACTTGGACTTGGTTGGATGCCTCTTGGTTTGGTTGGAATTTTTTGTTGTTGTTGTTGCTGCTTGGATCTTAACATCTTTTTTTGTTTTGTTTTTTGTTTTGTGATTTTTTTTGTTTTTTTGTTTTTGCCCTTCATGGTCCGAGAAGGAGACGGTGGAAGGTTTCACTACAACAGAAACAGAAAGGGAAGGGCTGCAGTTTCTGAGGGGTAGCCGCAGCACATGGGGCCACTGTGCCTGCGGGCTTGGGTCCGACCTGAAGCCACAGTGCCCCTAAACCTTTCCCCCACAGCTTCTGGAGCCCCACCACAGGCTAGACGTAAAGCAGACCATCTTGTAGGGATGAGCGGACCAGGTAGGATATGGTAGAGATCGTGGAAGGAGAGGGAGCAGGGCTCTGTCTACAACGGGGCTAACAACTTTGGTTGCCTTGTGGTTCTGAACCCCCGGAGTGGGAGGGCCAGCACCGGCTAGTTCTCCAGAGCTCTCGGCCTGACCTCAGGTGCCAAATGGCATACTCTCTGGGACTCTGGACAGTAGAGCTAGGTGGGTCCCGAGGGCCACAGAGGCACAGACATGCTAATGGAGGCTTGGGTGAGGAAGGAAGCGGACACATGTCCCTGACCTGATGACTGGAGCCCTTTCCTCTCCTGGGATGGACCTCGACAATGTCGAGTCTCGCGATGGTTGGGGAAGGGGCTCTGTAGGTCGAGGAAAAACACCTGGAGGCATCAGCTTCAGGTGCCTGAGGAGGTGGTGAGGCTCAGGGACGGGTGACCCTGGGGCAGGGACATTTCTGTAAGGAAACCCAGAGCTGGGGTGACCACAGCCGTACACACACGGAACAGTGTGCTCGTGACTCCCTGGACAGGAGGATAATCAGTAAACTTTAATAGAAACATTAACTTCAGCTGAGAGGAAGTCCAGAGGGGGCAGCTACTCCTGACATTCCCGGTGAAAGGTGGGTGGAGGCCCCTCCCACCGGGAAACCCACTGACGAGGCCTCTATCAGTCACCAAGCATGGGGGTGGCCAGGCCTGCAGGGGTTGACCGAGGTGACTCAGAGGGAGGTTTGGTGGCACCTCTGGAGCTCCGAGCGTTGCCCTGTGACACAGGCACGGCCCTGGTAGGGCGACCTGCCGTCCCCCCGGCCTGGCTCCCGCAGTATGCATACTGTACCTGAAGTGGCTGTACAACACCAACAACGTCAAGATAGGAAACCAAGGTTCAGACATACAGGAAAACCAGGGTCAGAGACACACACACCGTCATGGGTGGGGTGGGGAGACCAGCTGGCTGGAGGTAAAAATCTACGGACTTTAGAGTCGCAGAGGGGTCAGCGGCGCGTGTCGCTGAGCGGGAGGGGCGCACTGTCCTCCTGGTGGCTGTGTCTGGTGTTGGGAGTGGAGGGTTTGGTTTGGAATAAGCAGTGGCATGAATGCTGTGAGGGGGGTCTCTTGCTAGTAGGGGGTGAAGCGGCTGTACCCTCCTCGGCAGAGGCTAGCCTGCAACATCAAAGATGAAAAACAGCCAATCAGTACCATCTTTCGGTATTGGGAGGAAAAAATCAAAAAGAAAAAAAAATTAAGGAAAACCGAAAAAGAAAAAGAAAGAAATAGCTAACCCCACTTTCTTTCCCCCAATAGTATTTCGTTGGGAAGAATGGGTTTCTGGTTACCATGGCAATTGGGGGGCCTGGTTCCTGGGTGGTGGTCTTGGGGCTGGGAGGGATGATCCCCTCCCCGGAGACTTCTATACTGTCTTTGGGCTCACTTCTTGGGGCTTCAACTGGGCCTACTGTGTGCTCTGGTGGAGATACCTCCTCGTGCCTACGGGGCTAGTGAGGATGCTCCCACAGGCCTCCAGAGCCACTGACGTCTGAGGGGCACACCTGCTGGTCATAGTTCCTGACCTGCTTCTGGGCTCCTAGGGCCTGCTAAGCTCGGCTCTGTGTCTTGCCAGAGAGGTTTCTAAGGAATCTGGTTCTCACCACCCCCAAGTTTGGCAGGGAATGGGAAGAAAGCAGCAAACACAGGAGGAAAAAGCCAGAAAAAATAAGCCATAATCAAGAGGGGCCTGTGAGTCCACCACAGTGCTCAGCTAGCTGCCTTGAGGCTGAGCTGAGTGGGTAGCCTGGGCCTTCAGGTTGCAGTCCTGGGTCTGGGTCTCTTCCTGTATGGCTGCAGCACCCTCTTAGCTAGAGCCCCACAGGCCTGCTCAGGATGTCTGGGGCTTGTTAAAAATCAATGAAGACAAAAATCCCCAAGGGAATAATCAAAACCAAGGGAGGTAGGAAAAAAAAATCCATGTTGCCCCTCAGCTTTCTCTCTCTTTACTGCCCCCCAAATGTTTTCATCTTTGATGCTGGATGCCAAGCTAGAAACATACAACATCCCTGGGGTGGGGGGCATCTAAGGCACAGGAAGAAGGTTTGCACTGGACACAGACTGGGGTACAGAGGGTCTGGGCGTACACACACACACATACACACATACACACGCACACAGACACACCAGCCCACCCACTCTCCCACCCTGCTAGAGTCTTCTCCGCCCTGAACACGGTGGATGAAGCTGCTGGAGACCATTTCCCTGGAGCCCCGGGACAGTCTGGGAAGAGTGTGGTGAGAAAGGGTTGTTGTCCTTTAGTTCCTCTGCCAAGTGAGAATGGGAAGGTGAGGGGGAGGTTAACCTCAGACATTTCCCAGGGAAGAACGGGTGACAACTGCCCAAACTGCCAGGCCCCTGCAGGCAGGACTGTGGTCACCGGGTTCTGGAACACTAGGATGCTTCTCAGAGGTCAGGTCATCGTGGAGGGTTGGACCTGCCTCTGGGGCAAGTTCCTCCCCAGCTCTCCAGAACAAGGCACTGGCTGCAGGTCTCAGCCTCGGCCTGCAGCCTGGTCCCACCCATCCCAGTACAGGACGGATGTCTTCGTCGCTAAGGGCGGTGGTTCTTACCATGGTTCCGATGCTGTAGGTTGCTGTGGGGCCGATGGTGTGATGGTAGGGATCAGTGGCTGCATAGACTCTGCCATAACTAGGGAAGAGCAGGGAGGGGGAGGGTGCCGGAGAGGGACAGCTGAAGCGGGCGGCGACAGCGCCCTTCCCCCGAGGCCCCTCCGTCCCCCATGAGACCCTCTCAGCTGCCTGTCCTTGCTTTCTGTTTGGAGGGAAGTTTCTGGAACTTAGCGGTACACCCCCTTCGTTAGGTGGCCAATGTGTTCTGCTTGGTGACGCGGGGAGGGGATGGTGTCGTTCGTGTGAGTCTGCCTCAAGCAAGAACTAGGGTACAGAGTTTGAGAGAAGAGAGAGATGGGGGATGGGGACCAGGGACACCACAGCCCAAGAGGTGGCACTCTGTCCCAGATGACCTTCTGCTCACCTAGTTTGTGAGGTGATGAATTCTTAGGGGACAAGGCTGGGTCACTCTGCCTGCCTTTCACATGTGGTAAGGCGGGGCAATAGATTGTAAGGAGAGCAAGGATTGGAGGGCCCCGCCCGTTATGGTGGGAGGGGGTAGTAGGTGGCAGGCAGCCTCCAGGCCACAGGGGGCATATGGACAAGCATGCCAGCTTTCTGTAGGCAAATCCACTCTATGGCCCAGACAGGAGCTCTGAAGCTACAGGGCCAAGAGTGTGAGGGAAAAAGCATTAGACTCAGCCTTCAATGAGGACTTGCCCTGAGCAACCACAGCTGGGCTCCCAGACACAAACTGGACCAGGGTTGTTTCCAGAGGTCAAATAGGGGCCCCCAGTCACCCTCCTCATAGAGAGCTCTTCTTGAGAGCTGTGAGACCCCTGAGTTGAGATCTGGGTGTTATGTCTGCTCCACGAGACAAAGTGAGGTAACCAGTCAGGGATTCCCTGGTTCAAGGATCTCTGAGCTCAATCTGGATCCTTCTAGCCCTGCATTCACCAGACACAGGCACGGACAGGTTCTGAGTGGTGGATGGGGTTTCCTGTCTGTCTGCACCCATCCTCCTAGGAGCCCCCAACACCCCTGTGCAGCCCGCTGTCTCACCTGTCGCTGTAGGCTGCGGCGGCTGCGGCTGCGGGCTGAGCATATCTGTAAGCTGCATAGCCTCCCTGCAGGGGAGGGAGGAAGGAGAGATGGCAGGTGGACTCAGTGGGGCTCACTCAGGTTGAGGCAGAGCCAGAGAAACTGAGGTAGGCACAGAGCCAGCAGAGCCAGGCCCTCAGGAGGGACTGCAGACCTTCTCAGGCCTCCTGTGCCTGACTTGCCACTCCCACCTTGGCCTGGCGTGGCTTAGGTGGTCCTGGCCTGGGAACCTGGTCTGTGGGCTGACAGAGGTCTGAGGACTGCACTGTTCAAGATGAAGCAGGGCTGCCTGTTCCTTTGTCCTTCCTTCCTTCCTTCCTTCCTTCCTTCCTTCCTCCCTCCCTCCCTCCCTCCTCCCTCCTTGTTTTCCTTGTCTGTTCTCACAATCATTTGCAATGTCAGCGCATACTATTTTGCACCAATTGTATCTCTGGCTGCATGCTGGTCCTGGCACACAGTAAGAGCCCACAGACCCACAAACACTCCGGCCTGAATGCTGTCAGTTATAGGAAGCCCACTGGTGACTCTGGACCTGTACAGTCCTGGACACCAGGAAGAATGAAGGGGGCCTTGAAGGGATTGGTTCAGATATACCTTAGACAAGTGGGTAGTTAACTATGGGTAGCTGCCCAGGGGCAAGGCACAGACAGGTTTATTGTGGGGGATGCTCACTGAGGGTCTAGCCACAGAACGGGATGAGCACAGTCTCAAAGGGAGAGAGAGGAACAGGACTTTACCCAGAGAGAAGGGACACTCGAGGTCTACCTCTGGTATCCTTCAGGACCTCCACACCAGCAAAGGGTGTGGCTGCCGCCCTTAGCCTGGTTAGGAACGGGAGAGGGCCACTCAGTGCCCTTCACATAACCCCCTGCCATATGAGGCAGGGTGCCTTAGGTTTATAGCGCTACTGGGACAGTCATTAGACATGGCCATGGTCTCTGTGCACTGAAGCTCAAGCACCGAGTCTGAGTGAGGCCATGAGGACAGACGGACTTCTCACAGGCACACACGGAATGTTGGGCTTACACCCTTCCCTCCCCAGGGCTACACTTACATAAATCTCAGCACCATAAAATCCATCCTGATACACGACCCTGGAAGCAAACGGACAAGAGAGTGGTGGGAACGCTGGAGAGGCGGGGTAGGCCGGCTCCGGTGTCTGCTGAGGAGGGAGGGGGCACGGTGCCAGCCCCGCCCACGGGACTGGCATTTTAACAAGCGTTTGCTCCAGTGCCCTGTTTGGTATAACAATAGAGTAACACCCTTGCTGGTCAGCTCCTTTCTCCCAAAACCCAGGGGCCCATCAGCCCTCTCCTGCTAGCCTCCCCTTTCTCCCGCTTCAGCAGTGGAGGGCAGGACCCGATGGAAGGGTCCAGAGAGGGCTCCCAGAAGGCCCTTGCTGGACCCAAGGGCTGACACATGCCCTTAGTTAGCATTCAGATGACACGTGGTTCTAAATGATCCTCCAGAGGCCAGTGAGCCCTGGAGACGTCCCTTGTGGTGGGGATACTGATGGTGCAGGCAGTTCCAGTGCTGGGCTCTGGGGTCCCCACCATTCTGTCCAGCCCCACGGTTCTGAAAGGGCAGCTGAGCCCCCTTAGCTGCTCAGGGCTACCTCCCACACCCCCTGGCTTTCCTTCAGCCTCCCCCTTTCAGGTACTCACGCTCCGTAAGTCGGAATGGGGGGCGGAGGTGGTGCTGCTCGAAATGTATTATACACAGCACGGCCCCGGCCCCGCAGGTGTGCACCCCGGTAGGCGACGGCGGTGCCCGTGGTGGGGTAGGGGAAGCTGGTCACTGCAGGAAAGGAAAAGGAGAGAGGAGGACAGTGAGGAGAGGCTAAGGCTTGCAGCTCCACTTGCCCTGCCTCAGCCCACCCCACTTGCCCCTGTCCCCACCTTTACCTGCATAGAATTCAGGCCCATACACTGCCCCTACTACGGGGTTTAGCTTCCAGCCTAGAACAGAAAGAACATAGTCACTGACTTCCCAAACCTACCGCCACCTCTCCTTATGCCTGGGACCTCCAAAGGCAGTAAACAGCCAAGCCTTCTGGGATTAATTAACATTGGGCCTCTGCGAGGAGCAGGACCCTGTCCAGGAATGGGCAGAGGACGTGGGTCATCAACCAGGCCCCTCTCCCCATACCACAGCCACTTGCTACTGGAATAATAGCAGGCACCCCCACTTTAGCCCATCACCTGGGTTCTTGGGGTTCCCCTACAGTGTGACCTCCCCCAGCTTGCTCCTGGGCACGCTTGCCCTGGGGCATTAGAAGTTTGGGGTACAATGGAAAAGGGAGACACAAGTTGAAAATATCTGTATCTGATTCACTGTTGGGGGTCTTTCTTCCCATCCTGCCTGAAAGTCTCCCTGCTGCTCTGAGGTTCCTGGGGCTCCCTTCCCTGAATGATGGGTCCCCCACCCTCTGTCCTCTTGTCTCAAGTCCTTCTGCAGAGTTGCTGGGAAAGAGGGGGAGGAAGGCCATTAGATCTAGGAGAATAGTGACAGGGTCAGCAAAATGGCTCAGTGGTTAAAGGTGCTTGCTGCTAAACCTGGTGGCCAGAGTTCCAGTCCCTAGACCTACATGGTGGAAGGAGGGAACCAAGTCTTGAAAGTTGTTCTCTGATTCCTGTAGGTGCTACAACATGCTTGTACATACACATACACACACTAACATGTTAAAATAATGATGTTTGATAGGTCCTGTGTACTTGGTGTGTGCCCAAAACACTGTTGTTAACTTCTTTTTTTTTTTTTTTTTTTAAGTTTTTCGAGACAGGGTTTCTCTGTGGTTTTGGAGCCTGTCCTGGAACTGGCTCTTGTAGACCAGGCTGGTCTTGAACTCACAAAGATCCGCCTGCCTCTGCCTCCCAAGTGCTGGGATTAAAGGCGTGCGCCACCACCGCCTGGCTGTTGTTAACTTCTGAGGTTCTCATCATACACGGGGCAGGTGTCACAAGCTCCCAATTTTACACTCAGACACAGATTGGTAATGTGTGTGTATGTGGAAGAAAGAGCGGGTTTCAAACCCATACTATCAAGCCAGATGGGTTTTCTCGCTTCTCCCTGGGACTACACCTGGACTCTGCACCCCCCCAACCGCTCCCTTCTTCCAGGTGGACAGTCCTCTTTTCCCACTGGGATTCAGGAGCAAAGCCCTATTTCCCTGCGGTCCCCAGAGGCAGGGTCCGGCTGGATTCCAGTGGGCTATGGGTCAGACGGTAGGTGAGGAAGGATTGGCTCATCTCCTCAGTCTACTCAGATCCTGGTGAGGAGGCACAGAGAGGACCCGAGCTACCGGTCAACTGGTGGTGATGGACCATAGCAGACCACACGTGAAGTTCCTAATCCCAATTCTTCCAGCCCATGGGAGGGCATGCGGACAAGCGGCACCTGAGTGGAGCGTGCAGGCACGCTATCCACCTGTGAGACTAAGCCTTTTCCACCCTTAGGGCACTAGAATCCCACCTGTGTCTAGACAGACCAGGATTCTGGAATCTTCCAGACAGCTAAGGTTAACAGGGAAGAAACTTGGGGGACTGTACCCCAGGATCTCATCTTCCAGGATGGATCGTGATGAAGCAGAACCCTGGACCGCGCTGGGTCCTATTCTCCTTAGGCGTCTTTCCAGGCTCCTCTGGTCCATCCCGGAAGAGGAGAGTCAGGGGCTGCATCCTGTCTCGGGGACCCCAGGCACTCTGAGCTGAGAATGTCTACCTGCCTGTTGGCTCTGCTTCAGTTGAACCCCACAGGTTCACAGAGAGCCCGAGGACCCCCCCTGGACAACTGTCTGTGTCCACTGTAAGTAGGGCACCTGGTACCACGTGGTGGGCTTATTTCCTGCAGCAGGGACCCCAACATTCCCAATGATGAACTTCACAGTACTCAGCGTTAAAGCCCTCACGAGCCAATGCCCCTCCTCACCATGCTGCAGTGATCCCAGGGCTGTCTCTCTGAAGCCCTGGGATGCTTGCCTGGCACACGGAGGCACCAAAGCACAGCTCTCCCACAGCACGAGGAGCAGGGCTTTCTGCCTCTCTTACTTCTTGACACCAGCCAGCATCAGTACCCCGAGGAGCCAGCTGGGGTTGGATTTATTCTGCATAGCACACGCCTCAACTCTCCCGCTCTACCAAGACAGTGGTGGGACTCAAGGGTCTTGAGCAAAGAGTGGGAAGGGGCTCAGCTGTGGTACAGCTGCTGTGGACCACCCAAGCCCTCTGGAGCCACAGAAGCCAGCAGGTCCCTTGCCTGCCAGGGCTTGTGTGCAGTGGCTGCAGACAGAGCAGTCGCTGAGCGTGGGTGGCTGCTGATCTTGGAAACAGACTTTCTAGTGCATGTCATGACTCTGCTCCTATAGCCCAGTCCAGGGTCCAGAGAGTCATTTGAGGTGCCCATGGCTCACACAGTGGCAGGTGATCACAATGGCTGGACCATTGCACCCATTTACCCCAAACTGCAGAATCAGGAGATTATGATTGAGGCCCTGTGTAGGATCAAGCTCATGTTCTTGAGCCATTAGAATGGCCAGATATTAAAGAAGGCTTTATCAATTTAATTGATGAAGATTGGTGGCTGACTGGGATGCTGTAGGGTCAGTGTGTCTGAGTCGCGACTTCAGGATAAGTCCCCCACCCCACCAAGGAGGGCTCTTTCCCCATGATGACCACTGTTTAAAGCACAGCACCCACAAACCCCACAGTTTGTTCGCCTGAAAAAAGCCTACCCTTTTACCACCTGTGCTAAGCAGCAGCCAGCACAAGTTGGCCAGGCTTCATGAGGGACTCAGGCCAATCCAGGACACCTTCAAGTTCTCAGAATTTTGAGAACCAAATCCTTGCAAAAGCGGGAAGAAGTCTTGGATACCCAGTCCTAAGCTGGAACTGGCCAGAGTCCCTATCTGTGCTGGTTAGAGTTTCTTTCCGTCCCCAATTTGACACAAGCTGGAGTCATCTGGGAAGAGGGAGCCTTAACTAGAAAATGAGCCCATCATATTAGCCTGTAGGCAAGCCGGTGGGACATTTTCTTGATTGACGATTGATGGAAGGCCCAGCACACCTGAGTAGTGCCACCCCAGGCAGGTGTATGAGAAAGCCGGGGTGAGCAAGCCGAAAAGCAGTGTTCCTCCATGGTCGCTGCCTCGCTTCCTGCCTCCAGGTTTCCTTAGCAACAGATTGTGAACAGGATGCATTGTGATCAGGATGCATAAGTGAAATAAATTCTTCCTGGAGCTGCTCTTGGTCCTGGTGTTCGTCCTAACTAGGACACCTTCTCACCCAAGCTCTGACCCTGAACGCTGTCTGACCATGTGCCAGCTCTATCCATGGCTCTGCCGCAGGCAGGCTTTCTGCACCAGTGGGGCCCCCAGCTCTGCATACCGCCCATCGCTGAAGACAAGGGTAGCTGAGATGTGGTCCACCCTATCTCTGCAGAGGCGAGTCACTCTGTGTTGTCTATGAGTGAGTACCCCAACTCCAGCTACAGACGCTGCTCCCAGCAGGCCTCCAGAGCTAGAAAAGGCTCTGCTACATGGCCAGCTACCCTCAGGGCAGAGCTCTCGCTGACAATCTCCTAAAAGTCTCGGTGGCGCCAGCTACCAGCACAGGCGGACTGGAAGAAAGGGTGCGAGCTACTTAGCAGGTGTGTGTACTCACAACCATATTGTTAGCTCACAGTGCAGGCCAGCTGGGAGCTGGAGTGGACGCTGAAGTCCAAGGGACAGGCTGCTTTCATCATTAGCATCTCACTACTTAACACTGACACCTGTGTCCCCAGCCCGGCTTGTTCCTTAGAGAGGCCATGTGTTATTCCCCAGCTCTAGGTAGTGTAGGGTCTCATGTGGCCCAAGCAGGCCTTGATCTTCTGATCCTTCTGCCTCTACTTTGCAAGTGCTGGGATTACAGACGTGTAGCACCCCCACGGGTTCATGCATTGCAGAGGGATGCAGCTCAGGGCTCTGTGCATGTCACGCAAATACTCTGCAACGGGGACACATCCCCAGCCCCCCGACATTCCCGTCTCTCAGATGAAAAGATTGGGGTCCAGAGATGTCTAGAAGCTTGACTAAAGTCCCTGGTCCCTTCTTCCCTGCCCTGTGAATGAGGACAGTGTACTAGATGACAGAGCCTTCTAGACTCAACTCTAGTCTTCCAGGAAGTTACCATGGTTTGTCTGCCCCCACTGCCTTTCTATACAGCCTCTGGGAGTTGTGGATACTGGACAGTGTGGACACTCGGGAGACACCAGCTATGTGGGTGGGGAGGGTGATGACCACTCCTCTCTGACAGGACAGAAGCGGGAAAGCTGGGACACCAGATGAGGGCGGTGGTTTAGAGCCGGGAAGGCTGGCCTTTAGCTGCCTCAGCTTCCCCAGGCTTCTGCTTCCGGTCCCTGAAGCATGTTGGGTTCTCACCATTGGCATATGGGTTCCCAGGCTTCTTATTGGTCATGACCCGGGCTGTGGCGTTATTAACCTGTCCGGAGATAGAGAGAGTGATGAGCGTGTCAACTTCATTGCAGGCCCGCAGCCACCCTGGTTTTACCCTTGGGGTGTGGCCTCTGGGGAGGAAAGCCACTGAGGCACCTAAGCTGCTATCTAGCTGAGTCCAGGACCCTTGACCCACAATGGTGGTTTTCATGAAGCAGTTCCAGTAAACAGAGCCCAACACTGCCAGTAAGCGGGGGCCCTTGGAGATGGTCCTAGGCCTACTGGTGGCCCAGGCTCCAAGCTATTCTCTTCCAGGCAGCTGCCAAGCCCTCCTGGGTGTGGGTGCAGGATGGCTACTCCTACCACCATGGGCAAGCAACTCTTTTCCTGGGATCAGGGTCTTTGACCTCTCTCTGCAGCATGGAACTTTTTGATGGGGGGGGGGGGGTCAAGGTGGGTCAGGGAAGCATTAGAAAGACAGAACCCAGGGGTCGGGTCTTGTTTTCCAGACACATAAGGCCTAGCCAGACTGTCTGGGGGAGGGGCCATGACACAGAGGACAAAGGTGGATCAAATGGAAGTAAGGGAGGCAGAAATGAATTAGGCAGTGCCTGAGGAAGAGGTCTGGGTCGCACGCATCCTCTGCGCTCTGTGTATGAGCCTAGAGGCCTGGGCAGAGGTCTCAGAGGCACTGGGCACTGGGCTGGGTCAGGTGTGTCAGGATTCCTTCAGTGTCTACAGTTCTAGGTCCCTCTTTAATCATCGCCCCTTCTGCTTCAGGCCTGCTGGGGGAGCCCAGCTCTGGACCCCGAAGCCACACTGAAGAGCCAACGAGGAGGAAAGGGGCAGACATGGGGTGTCTGTTCACTGCTAGCCTTTGGCCAGCTGCTGCCACTTCCGCTTCTGCTCAATGAGGGTGGCAGCTGAGGCTGCCTGACGGGAGGACCCTCTTTGTCAGGGACAGGCAGGGCTGCTCACAGCCCTTGAGACCCCTTGGCCTCATGTTTTCTGGAGCCTCTTGTGTGTGGATGGGGATAGGGCTCTTCCAGGAGGAAAAACAGAAGGAAGTCAGGGGGTAGAGGCCTCAGAGGGAGCCGCAAGCCTCCAGTGGCCAGAGTGACCGATGCTAGGCTCAGCCGTGAAGCTGATGATTGGGAGGTCAGGCTCAGGGCAGCTCCTCTCCCAGCCAGAGACCCCTGTTGGGCTCTTTGTAGGATGGGCAGCAGCCACCAGGCTGGTGGGGGGCCCAGGGGTGGGGCATGCTGCCCGGGACCTCCCTGCCCTGCCCTGCTGCCCCCGCACACTTATCTGAGCACCTCAATTTTCCGTCCCTCTACGATCGTCCCATTCAGCTTCTCCCGGGCTCGGTCAGCATCTGAGCTAGTTTCAAAAGTTACAAACCCAAAACCCTGTGAGCAGAGGAGGGACAGACAGGAGAAGACAGGATGAGAAAAGGGAAGGAGAGGAGGGGGGAAGGGGAGAGGGAGGGAGAGAGAGGGGGCAAGTCAGGTGAGTGAAGGAGAGCCCCCAGTGTGGGAAGTCTGTCTTGGTGCCAGCACTAGGAGATCGCCCCAGGCAAGGGCAGGGCCTGAGCCCACCACGTCTGACATCTCCCAGGACAGGCCAAAGAGACGCTAACCTGGCCAGGGGCCATGCCTGTCACTGTAACCCCACCTCGGGGTGAGGGGCTGAGACTGGGCTCCATGGGGAACAGCACCCCCACTTTTGCTCTGGGAGCCCAGGGTATGTGTCCAGGGTCTTCCTGGAGAGAGGAGCAGAGCTTTTCTTTGCTGGGTGCCCTCCCGATCTACAGACTCTTCAGCCTCTCCCACAAGCCTCCTTGTGAGTGATTGGGGTGGGCTTGGGGACCCAGGCCCAGGGCTGGGGGCAGTGGGGCTCTGGGGTGCAAGCAGGAGGTCCTGGCAGCCCGAAAGAGGAGAAGCAGCCTGGCAGCAACAACAGACAGCTGGGGGCGGGGGCAGAAGAGCAGGGAGTACAAGCACCCGTGTGGCTCAGGGGTCCTCGGGCAGGCGGGCGGGCGAGCGAGCGGGCGCGAAGCTCTCCAGGAAGGAAACGCACATTTCACACGTTAGCCTGGCGGGACCTACAGCCGGCGCGCTGTAATGGTGGCGGCCTCTGTGCGGCACCCACCTTGGAGCCCCGCTCGTTAAAAATGATCTCCACGTCTAAAATTTTCCCGAATTGCTGCAGAGACAGAGAGAAGAGGGGTGGAAGACAGGAGAAAGGGGTTATGACAGCAGCAGCCTTAACCATTCCACTCCCAAGGTACTCTGGGAAAGAGGACCCCAGGGACGCCCTCCCCTTATTCCTCTGGAGCATGCCGGCATAGCACCAGGGTCCTCTTGGGCGGTGGCCACAGCAGGGATGGAATGCCCAAGGTATTAGTGCCATCTTTAATCCGCTGAGAGGCCTTTGCCTGGATGGGCTTGTGGAGGAGGGGAGGGTCATGTGTAGGGGCCAGAAAATGGCAGTGGAGTTGATAGATCAGGACCCTTGTTTGGGATAAGGAAGCTTCAGGCCCCATCGAGATGGGGAAGAGGGTGGGAGCTGGCAAGGGGAAGGAAGATATTAGCGTCAAGGACCAGGGATCAGGGATAGGACTGGATGTGGGGGGGCTCAGATCCTTATTCCGGTGACTCCTGGGACTTGGCACTGTTTGTCCCTGGGCTGTGGAAAAGGCTTGTGTGTTAGAACCCAGGCCTCCTGCTGGTACAGGATTGCCCTGCCAGGCAGGATACATTGCTCTGGCTCCTGCTGATCCCTTCCAGCCCTGCAGCCAGCCTGGAGTCTAGACTGTCAGCCTCTTGTCTGCCTCAGTGGTGTACGGGACCATGAACCTGAGATCCACATCTCCACACACCACCAGCGAGGGCAGCAACTGATGGGGACGTCTCTCACCTACCACATTCCTTACACGGGGCAAGAGGGCCTGGGGGCCGGGGGGGGGGGGACAAGGTAGCTATAGGGCCCTGTCTGCAGGTTCTGAGAGGAGGGGAACCCTTTACCTCATTCTCTATGAACCCAGAAACGTGACATTTGGTTTCTACTTGTCTGTTAGCACCCGTGAGTAGGTGCAGGGTGAGGGCCCCGGTCAGAGATTGTTTATAGTGACACCTGCTTAATGTCAGGGTCCCCCAAAACCCCGGATCAAGAGGGCTTGTTAGCATCATCATCCGATGCTCCTGAATCATGCCTGCCGCACCAATCCAGTGAGATCCACCTCAAGATTGGGAATGCAATTCTAGGGTCACACTAGGGCCTCTCAGAGGTACCCTGCACTGCCCTGCATATCCCAGGCTGAGCAGGGGTTGAGGCTCAGGGCCCAACTTGCTAGTTGTATGGTAGAAAGGGAGCAGGTGCTGGATAGAGAGAGGGGAGTTGAGGTGAGGGCGGAGACAGAGAGAAGGAACAGAGGCACGCTACATGGTGCTTTGCAACCAGGGCAGGCTCAGGAGTTCAGGAAACTGTCTCGTAGTCCCCAGCCTTCTGCTTCATGGAGGCCACACCACCCACAGACACCAGCACTTGGCTTGGAGTCCAGATCCAAGGCAAGCCTTCGGGGCAGCCTGGCATGGGGTTGCAAGGGTACTGCCCTCTCTGGAGCCCAGCAGGGCACAATCTACGACCACACCCAGAGGACCTGGGAAGGACATTGCTGCCTGCTTGGCTCCAATCAGTTGTATTTGAGAGCTGTCCCTCCCTTGGGGAGTCAGGACACAGCCTGGAAGAGGGGAACCTTGTCAGCCCCAGACACACAGGAGAGGCTGCAGCTGTGTAAGGCCAGGGGGCCAGGATCTACCTCCAGGCACCTTTTGGGGAGCAGAATCTGCCTTTAGGCAGGCCTCCGGGGCCTAGGGGACTCTATGGCCCTGGGAAACAGGTGACATGGGAGTGAGAACCAGTCAATCATATGGTGCTTGATAGACAGCCCTCACCAAACCCTACTCTAAGCTTGGGTACCCACCCCCCAGGGGAGAGCTGGTTGGACTCAGATGAGAATTCAAGGACTCTATCTCCTGGCGCAGACTCTCTGCAGTGATGGGGTGGGGACAGAGAAGCAGGGGTGCGCACACTCACCCCGAACATTTGCCGCAGGTCAGGGTCCCTGAACCGGAAGGGAATGTTGGAGACATGTAGTCGTTTGGGCTGCTGCTTCTCCGTGGGGTCAGAAGGGTGGAGCTGCTGGCTGTCCGTCTGGGCTGCCTCATCTGCCTGCTGCGGAGAGAAGGCGAGGTTGCTAGGTGACCCTGGAGACTGTGCGGGCCCACCCATCCATCTCTCTCTCCATCCCAACCTTTCCCACCCCTGGGCCAGCCATCCTCAAGAGAACTCCAGTAGACAATTCTCCAGGTTCAGATGGCAACCCGAGGCCCAGCCTTTACTGTCCTTGTGAGCCTGCGAGATCACCTCTCTCCTGCCAGAGCAGGCTCAGGCTCCTTGGCCAGGTCTTCTATAGCTCCCTCAGCTCGGCCCTCTCTACTGAGTTCAACCCTCGGTGGCCTCTTAGCCCCACACTTCTGTTGCTCTCAAAGTTCTGAGAGTGGGGGTCAGAATCGGATTGGTTTTAGGGGCAGCTTCCAGGGTACAGATATCTGCCAGGCACGCTATGCCATGCCGTGACTCCCAAGGCTCCTCTGACCCGGCCATGCCGCTTCACTCACCTCCCCCCCTCCCCCCCCCCACCGCGGGGCTGCTCTAGTTGTTGGGGTCAGCTGCACACAGTCTGTCCTCATTTAGACTAAACACTGACTGGCAGGGAACTTGAAAGGACTCAGGTTTCAAGCCCACCACGCCATAGCTCATGCAGGAGGACTGGGAGCCCAGGGGCAGCATGCCTGAGGCCCAGGCTGTGCAGACATCTTCAGGGAGGCTGGCCTTCAGCCTGACCCCCCTCAGCTTTCTCTGCAGCAGTGAAGACAGACTGGCCAGCGCTTCCTCAGCTCTGGACAAAGACGGAGGAGCTCATCTGGATGCCCTGGCCTGAGGGCTCCTGTCACAGCCAGGCCACACACTCGTCAGTCTACCTAGTCAGTCAGTTCCACCCCTCCTCAAAGTCTTAGTGTGCAGAATAGGAGCTCTGAGGTAGCACACACAGAGGGTGGGCGCCCCAGTTCCCACCCTGGGGTTCCTTTTTGCTATTGCGCAGTGGGCCTGAGCTCAGCCATGTGGCAACACTAGGCTAAGAATACACCTTCTAATAGCCTTCTTCCAACCCCAGTGCCCTCTGGCCCCTATGGTTTTGAGGGATCACCTCCCAGATACATCCATTGAACTCTGAGTCTTTCTGGGGCATAGGTGGGGAGACTGAATTGTACTGAGGTAAGTGTTGGTCGCTGTGGTTCCCATTGTGGCTTAAGGAGCAGAAGCAGCCGCTGGGCGGTTGGTGGGAGAGACACAGCGTCCCTTTCCCACGGGCTTCCAGGAAGTGCTGGTGTTCTCAGGCTGTTTCAGGGTACACTCTACTCTAGGAATGCTGATGGCATGGGTCTCCCGGAAGCAAGATAGTCAGGAAGACTTTGCCCAAGGCTACTGTGCCTGGGTCTGTGCCGTAGCTCAAAAAGATGGAGCCCAAATGGGCAGTGTTCCCCAGACATGCCATATCTCAGGGGCAAGGGGTGGGCCTCTGAGCTTCAGGGTGAGAGGCTCCCTGGCCTTCCCGTCCTCTTTATGAGGAGGCAGACCATTCCCTCATGGTCCCGTGTCCAGTCAAGAGGCTCTAAGTACGCTCTAGGCAGCCAGTGATGGCTCCCAGAGGCCAGGTACCAGCTGGGGTGGCACTGGGAGGCTTATGGGGATGCAGAGTTAACATCCGAATGCCCTGCAGATGCACCTCTGCCTTGAAACACCGGGAGGTCAGGACACGGCACAGCTTTGGCTGTGGGAGTCCCCCTTCCCCCTCTCCTACTCATGTGGACAGCCCCATGTATAGCTCAGCAAACCAGTCGCCTGTGTCTGAACTATTAATGTGTAAAGGTGTGTCTTCTGAGCCCCATATCGGAGCTGTAGGCATGGCACCCCCCACCCTGGTACCTCTGAGAGGCACCGGGTGGTCAGAAGACCTTGGCAAGCAGGGAAGCTATTGTTTGGGGCTCACTAACTACCCAGAAGCCCGATGAAGGGAGCTGGGTTTGGGCAGGAAAACACAGGTAGTGGGAACAGCCACAGTGGGCAGGAGGGTGCATGTCTGGTCTGTTAGGCACCAGGTCCACCTCTGTGGGGCAACACAGGGCAGTAGGCTGTCTTCCCAGGAGCTGACAGACTCTCCAGGGGTGCGCTGTGATCTTCTGAGGTATGAACCCCACACTCTGTTCATGGCAGGTGTGGTTTCCCTTTTCCCCGAGGAAGCCACGAAGCAGGCAGCTGCAGGTGTCCCTACTAATTAAGTTATCTTGGGTTGGAGGAATCCAGCCTTGTTAGGGCGTCTGCAATGATGGCTTCTGACCAGCAGAGGGCAGCAATGAACGCCACCAGGTGACCACTGTAGCTCAGGAATCCCTGCCTAAGCAAGCTGGCCAGAGAGGGAGAACCACAAGACTGCACTACTGAAGCTGGGGTGTCTGGGCTTCTTTGTTTTCCCCATCCTACTCAGCAGTGTACAGAGGCAAGTACATGGGCTCAGCGCCTATAAAATTGTTAGGTGCGTTGAGAAACCCCTTATTGTGATTGCAAGGGGCAAGGCCTTCCTACCATTTACCACAGTGGTGAGGGTAGCCTGGCTGACCCTTCCTTCTGAGTAATGAGTCTGCCTGCCCTCCCTCCTTCCCTCCCTTCCTCTCCCTCCCTCCCCTCCCAGCCTTTGCTTGCAGTTTTCGGATGCAGAGAAGCAGCAGCCACCACAGGCCCCCGACCTCTCCCAGGATGCTGGTGGCTGTGCTTTCGTGACTTTCCCCTGCTGTATCATGGTCCGGGCATCGCAGACCCTTCTGCTTTCCCTCCTCTACCCATTCAAGGCTGGGTGCCAGCTCCCGGGGCTAAGGCAGAGTCAAGAAGGCTGACTCCAGTCGCTTGGGTCTGCCAGCCTCTGCACAGAGCGATGAGAAGTCGCCTGGGAAGGACGAACAGAGGGGACTACGAGGGCCTTGGGCAGCCGAAGGACCTGGCCACCCCATCACTGGTCCGGAGCCAAGCTTGGCTGATGTGGCATAAACTAAACTAGCTGTTGGAATTCCACTCCGTAGCCGCTCTCCGTCCCTTCTGCTCCCTCGGAGGATCCGAACGATGACCCAGCCACTCCAGTGGACAGTCAACGGGCTTGGGAGGAGGGGTTCTGCGCATGTGGCCCGGAGGTGTCTTTTCTCTCTTGAGTGTTCTTCAGAACCCCAGACTCTGTGCTTCGGCTTGGATGTTGAGTGACACACCACGCCTCTGCTGGCCGGCTGCACATCTGCATGCGGCGTCAGCAGCTGATTAACCGCAGTGACTGGTCCCCCATTAGGCTGCTGAGCTGTGCCACTGGGCCTGGTTCAGGGGCTCGTACCTCTCAACCTTCTTCCCTTCCTCCTCATCCCTGTGCCTCCTTTGCTCTGCCGTTGGGCAGCCCAGGAGCCAGGGACCCAAGGCTTCACCTCCTGACGGAAAAAGCCACATTATACCCCCACAGCCAGCAACAGCTACAGCCCTGTTCTGGTATTTTCCAGGTGTCCACCAGTCTTTCCAAGAGCTTCCTTGAGTATAAAGACTGGGTGTGAGCCCTGGCACTCACGTGACCTTGAGTGAATGAATGAGGGCTTGAGGAAGGGTTTCCTCTTCCTGTGAGCTGAACCTTTTGTATGCTGTAGAGCTCATTGGAACACTCTGTGTTGCCTTCAGCAGGTGGCCCTGCATGGTGAGAGATGTGGGCCTCTATCCACCTAGAGGAGCTTTGGGCTCTCTAGCCTTCTTGCCGGGATCACAGGTGGAGATGGCCCTATCAGAAGGGATCTCCAGATGATGGGACCCACAGAGTGGTCTTCTGTGTGGCAATGAGCAGCTGTCTCAGGAATGAGCATAGGTAAAAGTTACTGGGGTTAAAGAGAAAACTGTTGAAACGGGCCTAAGGATTTCTGAGGACCCTGGTGGCCAAGGCTGTTGAGAGTAACAGATGGCTTGATGGGCTGTGTCCCTCAGGGTCAGCTATCCCTTCGCTACTCAGGGTCTTTGGGCATCTTGTCTGGGCAGTGGGTTGTTGGGAAGAGTCCCGAGCTGGCAGGAACAGGAGTCTCCAATTCTGAGCTGGGAATGCTCCTAAGACTGCTGGATATATCAGGTTCAGGCCACACAGCTGTACCAGCTGTTGGACCACCTGCTCCCTCCTGGTTAACCTTTGGCGTGGGGCAGGGTCAGTCTTTTAGAGCTGACTTAGTGGTCACTACCAGTGAGGCGAGAATGTGGACCAATGCTCTTCATCAGCAGAAGGAAATCTCTTGGGGGAGAGGAGCCCCTTTGGTGTGTGTGTGTGTGTGTGTGTGTGTGTGTGTGTGTCCATGAGGTGCATGGGATGATGGTGTATGCACATTCTGAGAGCAGGGGTGGGGGAGGCACCAGGGCACTTGGTGCTCATGTCCTGGGAACTCAAGGGAGGTCCTGAGTCGGGTGGGAGAAACTTCTAGACTCAAACTCTGAGAGGCAACTTGCCTGCCATCCTGAGAACCCCAGTCTCAGGCTGCTGAGGGAAAGGCTGGAGTGGGTGGACAGAGTTCTCCGAATGTCCACGTGATAGGTTGGTGACACTGGACCTAGCCAGCAGATGCTGGCTTCGTCACTGGTCAGCCCTGTGAGGGAGGGGCTGAGCAGCTTCTGGATTCTTAGAACAAAGCACACCTGTCCTCACTGAGTTCCCTCGTAAGGTGGGTAAGTGCTCCTCAGTAAGAGAGCGAGGCCCCCAGGCACCTGTGGTTTTTTGGAGAGAGGGCCATTCCTCAGTGTCTTCAATGTCCTCTTGCTAGTCTAGCACCTTCTACCTTCCCAGGTCAGATCGACAGGTCTGCCCTCATGGTGAAACAGACATATTTAGAAGATCTGATACCTTGACCCTGATACCTTTATAGGACCTGAACGCTGAGACCGAGATCAGGACAGTCTAGAGGGCATGTTCCACGTGGATCTGATATTCTCTGGTACAGGTATGTCCCTTGGGTGCCAAGCCTCAAAATTCAGCTTGCTTCCAGTGCTCCCTGGCAGCAAGTCCTTGCCCCAGCTCCCAGCGTCCTGACATCTCTGCCTTTGACTAGAGGAACCCAAAGGACAGGGCTGGTCACACCCTCTCTGCACCGCAGAACTGCCTCGAAGCCTGGCACTCGGCCTGTGTTATGCAGGGCAGAGCAGTTGACTCAGATCCTGGTAGTTGTGTCGGTCTGGTGTCCAGAGGCCTCAGTGCTGGTTTCTGCTGTTGCATTATAAAGTTATCTGTGCCCTCCTTATGCCATGTGCGACAATGACCTGCTTCTGACCAGCTGAAGGCCCACGGCTCACGAGAGGACCCCCCCATTTATTTATAAGTGGTTTGTCAGAGGGGATTGTCTGCTAAAGTCTAGCAGAGAAGAGCTGGACCACATGGCTGTGCTTATCCATGGTGAACCGCTTTAACTTTGGGGTCACCTGTCTATCCTAAGCATGAAGGGGGTATATGTGGACTTGACGACTTGGAGCCAGATCTCCAATTCTGTAATCTAGGGGTTTGGCTTTTTCAGCCTGTGGCCCACAGCTGCAAGAATCCTGGTGGCTGGGGGAGGGGGGATCAGATGCACTGGGGTGGGGCTTCTGCCAGATTCAGAGCAGGCTCAGGCAGGCAGTGCCGGCGTAGGAAGACCATTGGCCGGGCATGGAATAAGGTCAGGGGTAGCCCAGCTACAGTGGGCAGACTCTCCGCAGAGGGTTGGGGGTGGCAGGGGGGGATGGTGGAGGAGGTCCCTGCCCATGCACAGAGGGCAGTATTTGGGTCTGCACCACATCTGTGGAGGCAGGCTGGATGTGGGGATAAGGTTAAGGGAGCACAGCTGGAGGACCCCTGGGGAGACGCCAGGGTGGTGCCACTCTGCCTGGGGAGAGCAGAGTGAGCTGGCCTCCTGCCCAGGCCCTGCCAGCCAGCAGTCAGCTGCTGGGATGGAGCCAGCAGGGATGGGTGGATGAACCCAAAGCCCCAGAACAAGGAGGGGAAGGCCCACAGCGAACGTAATGGGAAGAGCCAGAGAGGCCTGAGCAGCTGTAGCAGCGGCCAGGGCCTGGGAGGGGGCTCCAGGACAGAGCCTGGGAGGGGGCTGTGGGACACAGCCCCCACCCAGGCGGCTCTATTTTCCCACTCCTTTCTCCATGAGGAAATCTGAGAAGTGCCGCGCTCAGCACTTTCGCCTCCGAGCTGCATTACAACCGCGTAATTGAAGCTATCTGATTGGAGGGCAGCCAAGCAGGTAGATTACAAGTGATTAGAAAAGACAGGGGGGCCTGCAACCGGAGACAGCTCTGCAGCCGCCCACCGTTCACTGCCCACCCTGACTTTCTCCTGAGACCCTAGGCAGCCCAAACCTCTGGCTCTAACTTCCCCTTAACAGGACCTCTGTAGCCTCCACCACCCTCCCCACCTCCCAGATGAGGTGAGAGTTTGCCTGAAGCCAGAGACAGCTTGGGGTGAGTGAGGTCACTACCCCATTCTATGGCCCCTTGGTGGCACTTGCTCACTGCAGGGAACCCTGGTGTTGGATATGAAGTACCTGAAGTCTGGGACTGGAAGCAGGCTCTCTGGGGTGAAGATCTCTGGGGCAGATGCCCAACATTGAAGTCTGGCCCTCCTTATGTATCTAGAGGTCCTTTCTAGAAAGTTCTGCCCAGCCAGCATGTACTGGGGACACTCTGCCCCACAGTCCGGGGCTGACCATTGTGGGAAGGGTCTCTTACCGGCACTGTCTGGGTCCCAGCAATGGGCTGTGTACTGGCCTCGGTGCCTGGCTGCTCAGGGTGCGTCTGTGCTGGTGTGTAGAGGGTCATGCCATGCTCTGGGGGGACTGGGGTCTGGCCGGAGTAGTCCTGTGTGGGGTGTGGTGGAGGCGGGGCGTATTCAGCTGGGATTCCATTCTGAGGCGGAGGGGGGTACTGGGCAGGGGGGTAGGGCTGGGCCATCGCTTCAGGAGGGGCCGTGGCGTCCTGATTGCCCTGCAGGTAGAGAAGAGCAAAGCCGTGGTTAGGACCTTTGGAAGCCAGTGATGGGGGATGTTGACTTTCAATTCAGGCTCGTGATTTCCACACACTACTTCCCGTGCCGTCTCCCAGGTCCTCAGGATGGGGCTCCCCTAGCTGAGCTGCGGGAGGTGCCAGGATAGAGGTACCGGCAGAAGGCACTCCTGGCTTATACTTGTTGGATGTGACCACGCAACTTCAGAATTCTGTTCTGCCACCTAGATTTCAAAACCAACCATCTTCTATCAAGATCACTGCGGACTCACTACAGGAGCCAACATGGATTGAACTTCACGTCCTCCACCTGGCGTCCCCTAATAATAGTGGCCACTGAAAACCAGCATTCCCTGGATATGGGTATCCAGGCATTCAAGCAACACCCTGTTCTCTTGCTACCAAGTCTCTTCCCTCTTGGGGCCCCATGCTGTGGTTTCCCAATAGAATGGGTGGCTGCATAGTTCACCTTGATTGAGCAGGAGCAGAACACATAGCGACAGGGTGACCACGATAGCCAGGTCTCCAAGATCTTGTCAAAATTCTTTCCTGCCCCCTTGAAAGTCTGTAGCCCAGAGAAGTGATGTGCACCCCTTCGATGCTGACCCCCAACCCCCAGCAAGGCCTCCGCAGTGACTCTCAAAGCTGGTGCCTGGGTCCCTGGTGTCAGCATCACCAGGGAGCCTGGTGGCTGGGGATGCAGGTCTGGGCTCCACCCCATGCCTCTTAGGCACTGGTGAGGAAAAGTCAGTATAGGCAGACAAGCAGCGCAGCGAGGGGCCCTTCCTTCAGCCTAGGCTTCTGTCCTGCAGAGCCAGTGCAGGAGAGGCCGGAGAGGGAAGAGACTGGTTCACTGCTGGGAGACATAGTCCCTGTGTCATCCCCTCTGGGCAGGCAATGTCTCCCATAGGAGCACACCCCCAAGGGGTCATCAGCAAGAAATCATGTCATTGCTGAGTGTCTCTGATAAGGTGAGGAAGGGAGACAGACAGGGGTGCCTCCTTCCACGCATGCCCGCCCAACATGGACTCCCCTATGGCCCAAAGTACAAGATACTTCATTTAGTGAGAACCTACTTAAGTATGGGCACAAGGTGGAGGAGGGGGGGGGGTCTCTTTCCCATTTTCCTTTGTGTCTGCCCAACCCCTTTGCCAGTTGCATGACTGGCCTCTCATTCTGGCTGTGTCCACCTCAGACTTGGGGTAGCAGGCAAGTGTCAGCCTGTGGGACTCTCTCCAGTACCCTCTGTTCCCCATAGCTGATCCCATGTGCTTTAATGCCCCATGCTCACTGACGAGAGCCTCTCCCACCAGAGTCTACACTCGGCTTTGGCCTTGCCCATACACATCACCAGGCTTCCGCTTATTCTCCCAGTAGCTGCTTCCTTTGCATCTTGGGGTGCGCCTGGCCCAAGCCAGGCCTGGGTTACCCTGGGAAGCAAGAACAGGCCTGTTTCACCAGGTTTGCTGAAGGCCACAGCTGTCCAGAGGCTGGATCCATTGCGACGGTGCTCAAGGGTCCTGGCCACCACAAGGCCACAGCAAGTGTGAAGGGTCTGTCTGACCTGGCACCAACCCTGTCTGTCTGGTCACTAACCATGAGTGTTAGCCTTGCCCTGCTCCCTAAAGCACCCAAAGCCAGTCACCCTGGACCAGATTCACCAAGTCGATAGTCTCCGGTACCCAAGTTCTCTTTCTTCCCTCCTTCTCTACTCTGTCCTTCCCCCCACCTCTCACCCCCCAGTGAAGCTGCTTGGTCTCTTCCCTGTCTATGCAGAAGCTCAAAACTGGGACAGCGTGTAAGCTCTGAAGAGAGGGGTATGCCTCACATCGCCTCTCCCCCCACTTTCCTCTCACACCTGAGCACAGCAAACCCCCTTGCCTGAGATTCCCAACTGGCTGCTCCATAGAGCTAGGTCTAGAAGTCATACTTCCCACTGTTACCAGACATGCTGGCATTCAAAATGGGTAAAGTGGCTTGTGGAAGGGGGTGTTGGAGGGCTGGGCAGAGATGGGAATGCCATGCACGGGTGGAGAGCATCTAGCACCCGGGATGGCCAACGGGGCATGGCAGGATAGGATAGGAGGCCACCGGGTGTGGAAGGTGAGGGGGAGGAAGGGAGAGGCCTGTCAGCGGCCTGGCAGACGCCAGGGAAATCAATTCCCCTGTAAATATTTGATGAGAACCTTCACTAACTGATATGGCTTCACCACTCCTCCTGGGTGGCTTTCACTTCAGTTGCCTGGGGTGGTGCCCTGGCATCGTCTTAAAGCCCTTGAGTGATGAGTCTGTAGCCAGGTCTGAGGGTCACTTGGGACCACAGCCATCCTCAGCATGAGGAGGGAGAAATATACAACAGGGAGATATCACCCAGTTACACCCATTTATTCTGCACCCCCTGGTCCAGGGTACCACAGTGACCACCTGTAGATGGTGAGACTTTATGCTCAGAGGTGACCTGAACCACCTGGTGGCTTAGGAGTTCAAGCAGTCATCACTGTATGGAGTGATATTTTGTTTGTAATCTAACAAATAAAGCTTGCTTGAAGATCAGAGTGCAGAGCTATGCCCCTAGCTAGCCATAGAGGCTGGGCAGTGGTGGCACACACCTTTAATCCCAGCACTCAGGAGACCGAGGCAGATGGATCTCTGTGAGTTCAAAGCCACCCTGGACTACACGAGATTGAATCTGTCTAAAATAGAAACAGAGCTCACACAAAGGTGATCCCAGCACTTGGGGTCACATGGCTTTAATCCCAGCATTAGGGAGGTGGACATGGGAGTGATGTGGCTCGGTGGAGAGAGGAATATAAGGCGGGAGGAGACGGGAGCTCAGATGCAGTCTGAGGTTTCGTAGAGACAGCAGTGGTCTGAGAATTTGTAGAGAACAGGACAGCTCCCTCGGTCTGAGCACTGGTAGAGGTAAGAACTCCCTAGTGGCTGGCTGCTCTGCTTCTCTGATCTCTCAGCTTTCACCCCCTAATATCTGACTCCAGGTTTTTATTATTAGAATTCGTGCTACATTCGAGCTACATCTCCTAGGATCTGAACTCTGTCATTGCCCTCTCCTCCAGGGTCCTCCTGGGACAGGGTGCAGTTCTCCATGGAGGGCAGTGGCCTGTTGTCTCTACCTCCATCTGCTCAGCTGTGAAGTGTGGAAGCAAGCATCTACCATGTGTGTGGATTAGACGAGATCATGTGCATACGTCCAAGGTCTTACCAGAATGTCAGCACCTCACACGGCTTACAATTTGGTTTCCTTGTGACGCCACATTGGACCTGCTGCTCCAAAAGTCTTCCCATTCTGGGACACACATCCCTCTCCCCTGGGTCGAGAGCTCAGCATTCAGGATTCAGGACACAGTGGCAGCTCTATTACAATCCACAGTCCCTCAGCAACTCTAACTCTGCCTTCAGGAACTCAGAATCCAACTACTTTGACCAAGTCAGGGCTTCCACTCTGCCTTGTCCTTCCAGACTTCCGGCTCTGTTCCAGCCCCTCTAGTCTGTTCCCTGTGGAGTGAAACCTCAAGTCCTCACAGCACCCCGAATTCCTGCCCACTTGGCTTCTTTTGTGTAGACACAAATGTCCCTGCTGCTCCTGGCTCAGGTCACTCCCCCTGGCTCTTCCTCCTGTGGGGATGTTCTTCCATTAGACCCTTGGGGTGCTCTCATGTTCTCAGTACTGCATTCTCAGGGAGCCTTTGTAAATCAGGGTCCCCGGATCAGCACTCACCATCCCTTGACCCATATTCTCCTCAGTCTGGGAGCCCGAATCCAGATGTTTATTATATCAGCTCACTGTCTATCTCCTACCCTGCAGGATGGGACACGGTCTCGGGGGAACAGGCGCTGTGTCTGCCTGGCTGCACTGACTCTCTAGGGTCAGAGTCCCATGTGTCACACAGGGAAATGGTGACAAAGAGGTACCCATGAGGAAAGAACAGATTTAGGTGTATGAAAAGAGCTGTCTGTGTAGACACAGTCGCCCATTGGCTTAGCTCTGTGAAACGGTCAGAGTTCTCGCCCAGAAGGTGGCCTCAGGGGTCACCTGCCTCTAACAGGCTCTAGTTTAGGACTGTGAAGCTTGACACCTTTGGATTTCAGGTTTTTAGGAGGCTTCATTAGAAGCTCCACTCACACTCTGGAAGACCAGCCCAGGATATTCTCCATCTCTCCCAGGACAGGTACCACAGCTGTTATTTTTACCGAGGGATCTAAGTGCACGTGAAGGGACAGAGTGCGTGAGGCACAGAGTGGGGACGGTGGCAGAGATCTGTCACCCACGTGGCTTCTGAAGACTAGGTGGGAGACTGGGAGCAACCTACGGAGGTAAGTTGGAGCTGGATGGACCCAGCTCATTCCAGCAAGCTGGGAGCATCTCAATGGCTCCAGGTGAGTAAGCTCACCTCGCTGGCTGGAAACCGGCCATATCACGGGACTCCCCAGGGCTGGGGCTGTCCCAAGAGAGAGGGGGTCCCAGGTCAGGCATTCATCAGCACATCTGGAATGGCTCCCTCAGTTCACACCATAGGTGCACCCCAGTGCTGACCTGGGCTTGATGTTGGGCCAGATAAATGATACCAACTATGGTCTCCATAATACCTGGACTTGATGCTGCAATTTTCAGTTTTAAAAATTTATTATTGTGTGTGTGCATGAAGTCTATGGGGACATGCATGTCACAGCATGTGTGTGGAGGGCGCCAGTTCTCTCCTCCCACCTTTATGTGGATTCCAGGACAGAACTCAGGTCATCAGGCTTTTGTGACGAGGGCCTTTACTCTCTGAGCTTTGTCCATCCTCGATGCTTTGAAATGGTGCAATTTCAGCAGTATTTGTGGAAACACTTGAAGCCCCTATTATAGGGTCTGATGAGTCTGTGCCTTTGAGGGGTCTCTGGATCCATCCCTGAAGGACTCAGGGTGATACACAGAGGGCTGGAACTGGCGTGGGTGTGGGAAGAAGGCAGAGGGGTGGGGC